ATTTACCTAAATTTGATAACATGCAAGTATGTGTCATTGTATACTCACCAATACTCATATTATGTTACAGTTAGGTACAAAGTTCATACAGTCAATTATCCAGATACATGTAATACTGAGTGGAAGGTCACTGCTTTGTTGGTGGTGGGGGGAGGTGTTGGATTTGGGTCAATAACTGAGCTGGGACAAATTCCCTTACCATAGGGTAGCTGTGGACCTGCTGCCTGAAGCTACCTGTGTTGCTCATTCTGACTAATTGTGCTATTCATCTATTAGTTTTTGCTGTCTTTCCTCTCACCTAATCATTTATGCAGTGCTTATCAAAGTTTCCATGCATAGAGATCTTTTGTGGATCCTGCTAAAATGCTGTGGAGTATACTAACATTTATAAAGCATATATATATTTCACAGCACCTAGTTTCCAAAGACCTGTAGTTTCAGGTTTAACCTAACTTTTTAAAATTTTATATAGAAATGTTAAGCTTGCAAAAGACAGGAAAACTTCCCCAGGCTAAAGTCTCTATTGTGGATGTAGAATTGTAACACAGCAAAGTTGCTAGCTTTCAAGGACAGACGTCCTTGGAGCAGGTTAACCTACTGATTGATATGTTAAGAAAGTTGCTTTATTGTTATGTAAAAATACTGAGGAAACTGCTGTAGGAAAACATAGTATTTGCTAAGAACAAGCTTTTGTTGGTGGACCGACTTAACCTTTTGCAAATTGCATTATGGAATGTCACTTTGTTATTTCACTGATGTTACCAGCTTCTATTGTTAAACTATACTTAGCCATAACTCCACCTATATTCCTTTTCTGTAACTTTCTGGTTTGGAGAATAAATACTGAGACAGAACCCCAGTTCAGGGTTAATTTCCCAAGGAGGAATGCCTCTCTCTTGAGGGTTCTGGGAAGTTAATCCCTTCAGGGTGCCTCACTGCTCAGAAGAAATGGGCTTTGAGTAATCCTTTGCATCTCTGTCACCCCATGTGAGGCAAAGCAACAAAATGCATATTTGGCCTCTGTAGGTCTGAGGTGAGGCCTGAGAATCTGCTTTCCAACAAGTTCTCAAGTGATGCCAGTGCTGCTGGTTTGCAGGCAACCTGAGTACCAACAAACTAGTGCTGAGATGAAGATATGTAATAAGTACAGGTATTCTCAAACTTGACAGTATTTTTTTTTTTTTATGCCTGGAGTGGCTTTTTTAAACCAAATCACTGGCTCTCACCTTCAGAGTTTCCTGTTTAGTAGATCTGGGCTAGGGACCCAAGATTTTGCATTTTTATCAAGTTCCCAGGTGATGGTGATCCTGCTGGTCCAGGAATCACACCTCCAGAGCCAGAGATTCAGAATTTTAATATGGATCTCACATAGATGAGAAATATGGTGGGCATAGAAGAGTAACACATCCCTCTTGTGGGATAGATGCCTACTGTGGATGGAATGTCTTCATGATCTCGGATTTTAAGGGAGATTTTGAACTATATAAATGTCTTCTGCTCCTTAGTTCCTAATTTTATATATATTTTAGGAGAGGCAAAGCCAAATAAGGAAATCCTTTTATTTCCACTTTGGATTGGAGGGTTTCTTTTAGATTTTCTTGAACGTTGCTGGGAGAAAATACTCTACATGAACTTTAGGTATGAATTCTAGGGAAAACCTCATATATCTCAAATGAAGCCTTGAAATTTATTTTTACTATTGGTAATCCCACATTATATCATTTAAAATTCCCTAAACATGGGTAAATAAAACTCCACAGTTACAGGTATTAATTGTTGTGCACTCATAACTAAATCTTAAAAATTTTGAAATTATATGTATTCCCATACAAAATGCAGACTTGAGGAAGGCCACACTTGTTTTTAGTTGCTTTTTTCTATACATTATGAAATAAACAACTTTAAATTGTTTAGATTGGTTTATCAAAGGATATTTTTTTCCAGAAATCAAAAAATGTAAGTTTAAGAAGTGGAGATTTTAAAATAATAATAATAATATAAAATTTAGGTTTAAATAAAATAAAAAATTATTTTATTAAATAATAAAATGTATATTATGAATATACTTCACACATCTGTTTTCATAATGCTTCTCATACACTTTGTCTAATTATGTATATTTGAAGATGGTTATTAATTTATTGTTGGTAGGAAGAATTTGAGGTAATATAAGTGTGGTTTTTTTATGCAAACACTATCCTTTCAAAGAGTTTTAAAAATTATGCTCAATCTTACTAGGCTCTACAGAATACACAAGGGTCTATCTATTCTTAGTCATGCTTTTTCATGCTATATAGATATATTTTTTTCTACATAAGGACAAAGACAAATGCAGTGTCTGGACAGATACAATGGTGCTTCAGGTTTATTAGAAAAGCATACAAAACAGACAAGAGAAATGCAGCCACATACATTGCTTCATTACCCTAATTTCATTTAGGATTTTCCAATAGTGCAGGACTTTTATAACTAACATACCCTAAAAAGGGAGTTAGCTTTTCTGTGATGATAAAAATCCTCAACTCTAAAACATCTATTCTGAGCATTTTCCAAATAACATAGCATATGAAATTTTCTACAAGTAAACATATGCATAGATATCAAGCTTTATAAAATACTTTTAATAAACCCAGGAGCAATTAAAAGTTCAGTAAGCTTAGGAAGTGTTTAATAAAGATCACTTAAAAAATATGGAGATTTTCATGTTTCTTGGTGTTCCCGTGAATTTTTTTCACATAAATATTTGAGATTTGAATGAAGATAAGGAAAATTAAATTGTATATTGAAAGAAAGTGACCCGAGATGCCAGATACCATTCAAGCTTTATTAAAGGAAAAGAATCTGCCAGTCTGCACCCAAAGTGGGGGCGGGGGCAGCCTGGGGCTGCCTGAAAATGGAGGACAGCTGCTAACCTAGGTGGTGGGAGCTTATATTGGTATGTTGGCACCAAGAGCTGGGCGATGTAATTCCGGGGTGGGGATTGAGTTAGGTCATGGGGATGGAGAGTTCTGCACACGTGGAAATGCCAAAAGTTTCGTTTTCTCCAAAACCGTTAGGCTTCTTGTAAAAGAGAATGGGGGGGGAGGGGAGGGGAGCAGGTGGATGGTGCCATTTTGTACTTGGGCTTGTCTAAAATGGCGCTGGTTATGTTGCACATCTATTATATATTTTCCGCACTATAGATTTAATTATAGAAAAACAATTTATGACTATTAACTTATTAATTGACAATTAACTTACATGAAATAGATCCATGAAATACACTGTTTTATCAACAAACTAAATTTGTAAACAGTACAGTGGAGTTTCATAAATTTAATCAATCATACAATTAGCATTTAATTTGGGGTGTAGACAAAGACTTCTTATTGCCTAAATGAAAGACAATGATAGCCTGTGAGAGAAATTTTAATGGTATTTTGAAAGTATTTTAAATAACCCTAACTGCTTAATAAAAATTCATTTCCCACATTTTCTAATAATTCTTTTCATTCTTTTAGAGTGTCTTCTCTTGCTGACTGAGAAATCTATCTTTGGACATTAATTGTACTTTTATGTTCAGATATACATTTTTTCTTTCATACTTAAGCAAGTATAAGAGAAATATGAAGACAAATAAACACATATAAGTGAAAGTTCAGCTAATGATTTTTAATTGCTTCTAGAACATTACATAACTATATTCAAGAATATAGTTTATTATATTACAATATATTTCTAAATTTATAATATTATATTTTAAAATTTCAGAACTGGTATCATTCTCAGAGTAACATGTATATCAGACAACAGAAATTGAATTATCCTAAAAAATTATCTTACAACGGCTGTAAAAATCATGCATTACGTATACCTTATAAGATGAAATCTGACTTATTAAAATCACTTTTTTCTTTTGCTCCAGTATTAAATTTATATCAAGAAGCACCTTTAATTAGAAATTGTAATTAAGAAGAGTAGGCACAAATTTAAAAGAAACACTTATTTTTTTTTTTGTAGTTAACTAGTTAATAGATTTTTTTTTAAAACAATATGTTTTTTTCTGGATGAGAAATTTCGATGTGATGTAGAATGTTATTGCTTATAGATTTATAGAGTTTGCCACAAATGACAAACTCGATAATAAATAATAAAATCGATATCTTATTAAAATGTTATATTTTCAAAATATTTTATTTACTCATGTATCTTTTTATTTATCCATTGTTCAACAAATGTTTGGTATGTGTTGCTGTAATAGATTTAAATTTTTTAACATACATGCCAGACACTGTTTCTGATTTTCCATTTTGTTAGATTAGTTACCAGTGTGCACTGAATATTAAGTTCCAATATGGATGGTAATTCAATCTGTGGCATATTCAAAGCGCCAAGCTCTGTGTATCAGGGTTGCAGCCTAATGTCTTTAGGCCTAGTTTTACAAATGCTTGGCGATGCCAGGAGAAAGCCACAAAGATGGTAGGCCTATGTGAAACTGCAAAGTGAATGATTTGCCAAGGTATTTATATTTTTTAAAAGTTAGTAGAACATCATGTTGAATAATCAAACATATCTATGAGCATAAGTCAACCCATGAGCCTCAGGGGTGCAATTCTTTCATGGAAATACTCCCATGCAATGCTTGTAAAATCTCTGCAGTTTAAGTTGCTGTGAGCTTGTTCTGGGCCACGTCTTTCCAACAATCCTAGAAGCTGTAGGAAACTGATAACACACCCCCATGAGCAGAGATCCAAGGACCAAGCTCTGAAGCCTTCTGAAAGAAAACAATGCTGGGAGCACCTCCAAGGAGTAAAAAATGTAGTGAGAAATGAGCTCATTTACCAAACCGAAGACTTCAGCTGAGAATATTTAAAACTCCCTTTTAAGCCACTTGGGTAGAGAGGAAGCAATTCTCTTGCACCAAAGAAAATATTTCTAGAAGCATAATTCTCCCCAAGATTTAGAAGAAAATATTAATTGGTACATCTAATATGAAAATTTATTTTCCATTAGTCTCCACAATACCCAAGTCTCCCACATACTTTTGCATTGCACACAAAGTAACACAAGTTTTCAAACACAAATTGAAGGTTCAAGAAAGCATACAGTACAGTCTTGAAAAGGGCAAAATTTACATGCACAGAAAAGGAAAACCTTTATTTTCAGAGAACATGTAAGTTAAGTCAGAGAAGGAGAATTTAGGGGAGCCTCATATTTATAATACCCTTACCTATACATGACTTGAAGTTTAGCTCCAATAAACAAAAACATTAGCAGATACTGCTATCATTTTACATTCAATAAACTCCTACATATGCATTTGTAGATGTTACTCTATTAAAAGGCACATTTACGTCTTTACACATGTCTTTGCTAATGTCCTAAATTTGGGTTCCAGATGATCTAGAAACTCCAGCCCCTCTTCCTCCTGCCGATCACTGCAGCAGCCTACCGAGCCGGCCACAGACCCTTTGCCTTCATAGTGATAGGAACGAACGTAGTCTTCAGAATGTTTATGCTCCTCATCTTGTCCACACAGATACACCTTCTGTATCGAAAAAGAGCACATTTTATTATTTTTTTAAAAACACCTAAACATATTAGCATAAAAATAATGTCTTTGATTTACCTTTTACTGTTTAATTTTTAATCAGAGTGTGTCCTCTAATGGATTCCTACATATAAAAAATGCACATGATTGGTCTGTATCATATTCATTCTTAAAATATAGCAAATAAATAAATGCTCTTAGTGAACACATTTATGAAAATTATTGCTACACATATATCACACAACTAACAAAATTTCCCATTTGAAAATATGTATAGTTGAAATTTACCTCTGTAATTTCTTCATATATTTGAGGAAAACCAACATAGATGATGGTTCTTATGTTTATACACTATTATATAGCTACAAGAGTGTAACATATTAAACTGGCTAATATTAACCCATGCTGATTTATCTGATCATAAGACAAAACAAGGAACTAAAACCCAAAATAAAATTTAACAATCTCTAGTTGATTTTGATAGCCAGGACTTCATAATCACATGAAGAACTCAAGCACACAGAAAAATGTTTATAATTTATGATCCATTCATTACTCTGTAACAAATATGTCCCTCCAGATGGTTTCCCTGGTAATTTTTAGATAAGATGCTATCAGTCTTTTATCAATAAAAAGGTGATGGTTTCCAGGTGTATGAGGAATAAAACTTCGGGAAATCCTGATTTATAAATAGTGTTTAACTTTCATTTAATATGAACTTGAAGACACTGGAACTTACTTCGCCAAGCCGAGGCTGTGTGAAACTCTGCCAGTCGGTGTATGCATATCTGCCAGTATCTGTTACTCCCTGCCCTATCCCCTTGCCGGATTCTAAGGTCTGGTGTCCACCTCCTTTGCTGGAATCCAAAGTGTAGCCTCCTTTGACCATCTCAAAACTTTGCTGTGTTTTGATTCCTTGGCCACCAAGAGTACCAACAGACATGCTTGTGTCACAAATGTTGGATGTCTGTGTGGGGAGTCTAATATTTGCTTCCTGAAAATAAAATTAGAGTTATAAAATGAATGAATCAAATTGAAACTAACGTTTCACTTTTCATGTCTTTCTTACCACAGGCAAATCACCTACCTGCTGTGCCTCTCAGTTACCATACATAAAATCAGGATAATAAGAGTACCCATATCTTAAGTGTTATGGGTTGAATGGTGTCCCCTAAAAATTCATATGATGAAGTACTAATCCCCACTAACTCAGAATGTGACTTTATTTGGAAATACGGTCATCATAAATGTAATCAATTAAGTTAAGATGGGGTCATACTGGATTAGAGCAGTTCTCTAATCTAATATGACCAACATCCTTATAAAAAGGGGAAATTTGGACAGAGACACACATACAGAGAATGTCATGTGAAGACTGGATATATGCTGGCATAAGCCAAAGAATTACCAAAAGCTAGAAGAAAAGCCTGGAAAAGATCCTTCTCTAGAGCCCTCAGAAAGAGCAGGGCCCTGCCAATACCTTAATCTTTGATTTCTAGCCTCCAGAGCTGTGAGAGAATACATTTCTATTGTTTAAGTCACTCAGTTTGTTGTGGCAGCCTTAATACAATGGGATTGTGAAGATTAAATAAATTAAAATATGCAAGGAACTTGGAACTCTCGTTGAGTACATAGAAAACACTCAATAAACATTAGCTGTTATTATTTCTAATTTTCTGTAATAATCCAACTGTCATTATTGGTTCACCATATAATTCAAAGGGACGTGAAATCTGATTTACCATCACTTCTTCTCCAGGTCCTTCAGTATTTGATACAATTAAATTTTGCTGGGCTACATCTTCTGGAAAACATTTCTTTACTGTTCTCTTAGCAGTAACACAGAAACATGTAAACAAAATACCTAAAAAAAAAATGTTGATATAAAATAGTGTTTTTTCATGCTGGTATATATAAATCATTTAATTATATGATTTTTTAAAGATTCTTTGCAGAACTTTTAAAAATTAATCTTATAAACTGAGATCTCTTTGGGTCACAAAATTTAAAGCAAAATATTTTTTAATATTTATTAATATATAGACATTATATATATGTCTTAGTGATTATATATATGTCTTAGTGAGATTAATAATAGTTTTCTTTCCACGTCCAGAATTAATTTATGTGTCTCTTATTTCCTCTACATTAAAACAGTAACTTTGTTTGACTGAAATTTAAGATAATATTATTGGTATTTAAATCATGCAGGACACACTTAAAAACTTACAGGCTTAGAATAACAAAACAAAGAACATTAGACCTAAATACAAGCAAGATTATGGGAAGAGTCTGTAAATGCAAATGGGTTTGTGTGTGTGTCTGTGTGTCTGTGTGTGTATGTGTGTGAGAGAGAAAGAATGAGAGAGAGAGAGAGAGAGAGAGAGAGAAGGAAAGAAAGGGGGGGGGGGGAAAGAAAGAAAAAGAAATAAAGCCTTAAGTGTGGGCAATGTTTCCATAACTTTTGCATCTCCAGAAAACAATTTGCAGAATGCAACAGCTTAGCAACCTTTGCATGCGTTACTTTTCCTCAGTGACTCATACAACCATTTTCCACTCACTGGAGTCTTCTTGTGATGTCTGTCAAATTGCTTAATCAATAATATGGAGCATTAATATCACAGCAAATTTTGGAACAACATGTTTTCACTAATTCTTTTGTATTTATGTATTCCCTACATAAATTTGGCATTTTGAAAGACTATACTATTTTATATGGGAGGGAATGAATCATTTTATCCAATCTCTTCATTTTACCTGTAAAAAAAAAAATGAGTTCAAAGAAGAAGAAATGATTTACTCAATGTCTCACAGCTAATTAGTGAAGAACTGAGGCTACCTCCGCTGAAACTTACTTTACATTTAATCTGCTGTTACTGGTGTTTATTCTATGACTCAGAGCCCCAAGTCACAAAGTAGATACAAGATTTTAAAAAGGACACATTTGTCGAAGGTCACAAATATCATTGATATAAAAAACTGTCAAATATTTTTAAGATATTAGATAAAATTTTAGATAATACATTCTAGATGATTATACTTACATAACAACAATGCAGAACCCAAGACCATGGCAAGAATAGCCCATCTCCCAAGTATTACATTTGATGGTTTAACATCTCTCTCGCCTTTAATACTCATTCTACAATCAGATGGAGTTGTACAGTCACACACCCTTACTGATAACACATGTTTTTTACCAAAGCCATGCCTGTCATTTATTTGGATAGGCACAGAATAATAATTATAATCAAGATTATGCTGTTGACGAAGAACAGCAGTTTTACCTAGAGGGAAAAAAAAAGAGAAAATATATATTGGTATGACCTTTCAATAGCAATATTTTTCTTACATGGTGATCCTGGAGGAGGGAGGGAATTAATCTAAAAGAAAAACTCTAAGCTCTAATGGTTCACTTTTTTTCCTTAAAAATGATTTTGATTTCTCAGAAAACCAGGAAAAATAATTAATATTGCTTTATGTTCATATTGGACTAATCTATACTTAACTTGTTATTCAAATGTTTACTTAAATAGATTCATATATATTCTTAAAAGATATTCAGAATAAGTCTGAGATTAACATAAATATACTTATTTTTTAAAAAGCAACGTATTATTCTTTTTATAGGATCAATAAAATAACTACCTAAAATGAATATGTATTCATTTTGATGAACTAAGGTGAAAGCCAAGATTATCAACCATCTTTAGCCCTTATTGATTCCAAGGTTTAGCATAATTACATACCATCCTCCTTGGTTTCTAGAGTCCAAAATTTTTTGGCAGAATTATCCAGAAAGAATTGAAAAGGTGGACCATTGTCAGGCCCATCCAGATCTACAGGTTTCAGAACAGCAAAATCCGTATTATGCTGACAAATGGTCACTTCTTTGTCAATTTGCGGTGTGTGATCATTATCGTCCTCCAGAAGAACTACTAAAGTTCCAGTGCAAGATCGGCCAACTAAGATCAATTAAAAATAGGTTATTTCTTCACTTAAAAATGTGTTCAATTTCAACAATTCATATACTACACATTTGACATCTGCTTTCTACTGGCTGTCTAACTTGAGTTCACATGCATGTTTCCTGGATCTCAGACACCATTACTACAAAACAGCGACATGTCATTTTTCCTTGAAGACTGGTGGCTGGATCAGATGATCTCTTCAGGTGGTTTTCAAAACTACAAGGTATGAGATTATGAGAAATTTCACTGCAGAATAATATGTTGAATTGTATCTCTCTTTGTGAAGAGCATACATTCATCCGCAGAATACAAATACTTTACATTTGCTTATCAATCACCTTTTCAGCTTCTTCTCCTTTTCCTCATATACTGTTTGCCCAAACCTTGTAAAACTTCTCATTAAATCCACTATGTGCCATTCTTCCTGTCTGCTTTGGTGCATTCTGTTGCCACTGCCAGGAATACTTTCCTTTCCCTCTTTGCCTGGTAAAACTCCTGCTGTGACTTCTAGACACAATAGCAGCCATATTCTTCTTTGACTTCTCAGGATACTTTGCTCGTACCTTGGCTCACACTGAGCTGTGAACATGTTAATAGCAACATACTAAGTCGTATTCATCTTGAGAGTCTTGTGATATGCTCATTACTTCTTGGCTAACTTAATACTGATACATTAGACATAATGCTGTTACTATTTTTATACTTTGAGAAAATGTAATGAAATAAGCCAGAAAAATAAGTTTTCACCTCCATCCTAATGAAATCACCATGTTCTTGACCATAGAAACTGTCTCTTATTCATCCATCTCTCACCACTATTATTGGCCTAAGACTTCCCAAATAACTCTTGATAAATATTTTTAATTAAAATAGTGAACAAATTTGTGTTTAAGAGATAATGAAGTTCAGAAACATGTTCATTCTACCACTTGTGAAAGAATAATAAACTACAGCAAATGGTAAAGTTCAAAAACTAAAATAAACAGAAAAGTAATTGATGCAATTTCTTATTTTTTAATGTTTTGAATACTGGTTTAAATTTTGAAACATGTATGTTGAATTTATCATAAAGAATATTATAAATCAAATGCAAATATAATCGTTTTTTATCTTTGAAAAAAAATATGGAACACCGCAAATCTGACTGTCATCTTTGTGCAGGGATCATGCTAATCTCCTCTGTTTCATTCCAATGTTAGCATATGTGCTGCTGAATCAAACAGTTTATTTCTATTTTGTTTGAAATAACCCCTAAACCACATCATGTAGTGTATTTTCAGGGACTTCTTTTTTTATATATTGAATAACTATAAAATTAATTTATTCAAAGTGACTTTTAAACTACTTATATAAAGTAACTACTTTAATATACTTATTTTAAAACTATTCCATCAGAACAAGTTTTTAAATATCTGGAAATAAAAGAAAGATATAGCCATTAGAAGAAGAAATGTGCAAAAGCATGTAAATATTTTGAGATGGCCAGAAAGCGATAAATAATTCTAAATACAAGTAACAACTTAAAATTCAGCAAACTAACAAGGAAATGAGTATTGTAAAAATAGAAGCTCTTTTTAACTAAAAATGTAGTTGCAGACACTACACATGACTTGACATGATTTTGCCTTTTAAAATTTTACCTTTTAAAATTTAAGCAGAGGCGGTGCCAGCGCACAACCCAGAAGGTAAGCCTCATCACTGCCACCCGACTCCATCCCCAGCCCAGCCCAGCACATGCGGAGCAGGGAGACGTCCATCAGGGGAGGCGGAAGCTCCGCAGAGACCACACACCCTGCGGTGCTGGCGCACGACCCAGCAGGTAGGCCTCACTGCTGCCACCCGATTCCATCCCCAGCCCGGCCAAGTGCATGCTGACCAGAGAGGCAACTCCCCGGAGAGGCCCAAGATCCAAAGCAACCATACACGCAAGGCACTAATGGCCAACTGAGTGTAGCCATAACAAATTGGCAACCCTAGAAACATCCTAGCCAGACAACAGTGTCAAACCAGTGGACTGTGAAACCCCCTGCCACAATGACTAAACGTCAAAGGAAAGATACCAGAAATATGAAAAATCAAGAAAGTACACCACCAAAGGGTAATAACTCTCAAACTCTAGATCCTATAGAACAAGAAGCCCTTGAAATATCTGACAAGGAATTTTGAGTGATAATTCTAAGGAAACTGAATGACATATAAGAAAACTCAGCTAGACAACATGATGAAACAAGGAAAAGTACACAGGACCTGAAAGAAGAAATGTACAAGGAAATCAATGCCCTGAAAAAGAATGTAGCAGAGCTTGCCAAACTGAAGAATTCATTCAACGAAATAAAAAACACAACAGAGAGTTTAACCAGCAGGCTTGCAGAAGCAGAAGAGAGAACTTCTGACTTAGAAGATGGGCTGTTTGATATAACACAGGCAGCCAAAAGAAAAGGAAAAAGAATTAAAAACTTTGAACAAAATCTAAGAGAGATGTCAGACAACTTTAAGTGCTCAAATATCTGAGTCATGGGTATTCCAGAAGGGGAGGAAAAAGGAGACTGCATTGAAAGCATATTCAACAAAATAGTGGCAGAAAACTTCCCAGTTATTGGAAAAGACACAGATCTTCAGATTCAGGAAGCTCAAAGATCCCCGAATGTATTCAACCCGAAAAGGTCTTCTCCAAGACATGTTATAGTCAAATTGGGAAACTCAAAGACAAAGAGAGAATCTTAAAAGCTGCAAGAAAGAAGCGTCAAATCACCTATAAGGGAGCACCAATCAGACTAACATCAGACTTTTCATCACAAACCCTAAAAGCCAGAAAGGAATGGGATGATATATTCAAAATACTAAACGACAGAGATTGTCAGCCAAGAATACTCTACCCCACAAGGACCATATGATCATCTCTATAGATGCTGAAAAAGCATTTGATAAAATTCAACATTCCGTAAAAATGTCCATACTAACCAAAGTGATATACAAATTCAAGGCAATCCCCATCAAAATCCCAATGACATTTTTCTCAGTAATGGAAAAAACTATCCAGACATTTATATGGAATAACAAAAGACCACACATAGCCAAAGCAACTCTGAGCAAAAAATATATATATAAATCTGGATGCATAACACTACCTGACTTTAAACTATACTACAAAGCTATAATAACCAAAATAGCATGGTACTGGCATAAAAACAGACACACTGATCAATGGAATAGAATAGAGAATCCAGAAATCAACCCACACACCTACAGCCATCTGACCTTTGACAAAAGCACCAAATCTAGACACTGGGGAAGAAACTGCCTCTTCAGCAAATGGCACTGGAAAAACTGGATATCCATATGCAGGAGAATGAAACTAGACCCATACCTCTCAACATATACGAAAATCAATTCAAAATGGATTAAAGAATTAAATATATACCCTGAAACAATAAAACTTCTTAAAGAAAACATAGGAGAAACACTTCAGGAAGTAGGACTGGACACAGACTTCATGAATATGATCCCAAAAGCACAGGCAACCAAAGGAAAAATAAACAAATGGGATTATATCAAACTAAAAAGTTTCTGCATAGCAAAAGAAACAATTAACAGAGTTAAAAGACAACCAACAGAGTGGAAGAAAATATTTGCAAAATATACACCTGAGAAAGGATTAATATCCAGAATATACAAGGAACTGAAACAACTTTACATGAAAAAAACAAGCAACCCAATTAAAAAATGGGCAAAAGAGCTAAATAGGCATTTCTCAAAGGAAAATATATGAATGGCCAATAGACACATGAAAAAATGCTCGACATCACTCAGCATTCAGGAAATGCAAATCAAAACCATGCTGAGATACCATTTTACCCCAGTTAAGAGGAGTAATACCCAAAAGACTGTGAATGATAAATGCTGGCAAGGTTGCAGAGAAAAAGGAACTCTCATAAATTGTTGGGGGGACTGCAAAATGGTGCAGCCTCTATGGAAAATGGTATGGAGGTTTCTCAAACAATTGCAGATAGATCTATCATATGACCCAGCTATTCCACTGCTGGGAATATACCCAGAGGAATGGAAATCATCAAGTCAAAGGTATACCTGTTCCCCAATGTTCATCGCAGCACTCTGCACAATAGCCAAGAGTTGGAACCAGCCCAAATGTTCATCATC